TCTTGTCTTCTAGTTATCAAAGGTCTTGAATACGAATCTTCATATCCATGTAATGATGTTCGAAGGGCACAAAAGGCATGACAACCTCTTTAAAGCTGATCGACCTTCCTGTAAGAAATCAATCAGTGAAACTGTCACGGAACAGCGTCCCACCAATTCCGCATTGGACAAAGAACTCAAACCAGCAGAAAAATAGCAATAGGTCTTAGAAAGATAATCAGTGACATTGATTTAATATCTGTAAGCTATCAATTGACGAGACAAACTACGTCTTCTTAAAATATAATATTCTTAAAAAGTCTGGTGTTCGATTCTCGCACGCCTCACATCTGAATTAATAAGAATTATTTCACCCCTTAGAACCAAAATAATCGTTGCGACCGTTCGTTTGGGCAAAAAAGCTGATCGACCTGCCTGTAAGAAATGAATCAATGAAACTGACACGGAACTGCGTCTCACCAATTTCCATGGGACAAAGGATTAAACCACAAGAAAAATATTCGCAAATAACTACATAGCAACAGGTCTTACAAAAATGATCAGTGGAATTGATTAAATATCGTTTGTCTTTTTAATTGATTCTTACAAATCAATAAGGAAGAAGATCTGGTGTTCGATTCCTGCTCTCCTCACATTTAAGTTAATAAGAATTATATCACCCCTTAGCACCAAAATATTCGTTGCGACCGTTTGTCAATTAGCCCGCACATTAACGCCAAGTTCAGCCAGGTTCGAATCTCAGCAATAAACTATTTAAGGGCTAAAATTATTTATGTTGTTTATAGTAATAAAAGTGAGTAAAACAATTACTACAATCGTTTAAAAGCCTTACTTTCATATAACTTCGCATTGCATTCGCTGTCGTACACGCAGCGCTGAAGAACCAATTTTGATTTAAATCAGAGCTTCAAAAATGGTTTAATGAGAGATATTTCGCTGTATGAATATCAAGCCAATCTATGTGTAGAGAATTGTGAATAGCTGTTTATTTTTAAATAAAACAGATCAGCCAAACAGTGATAGAAATGTGTCCGGCCCGTATCGCAAAATCGATGGAATCGTATATTTTTACACCGGTATTCGAATCCAAAACTCTCACGACGTCATCAATAGAGCTGGGAAAGCTACTTATCTAAAAAATAAAAGGTTTATACAATATACATACTATAACTTCGCTGTGCAGAAAAAAAAAACATCTTAAGAGATAAAATTTTATTTATTCAGTCCTCTGTCTTTAGTTTTACTATTTCATTGATCTAAAAAAAACACACCTCATTATAATTCATTAAAAGCAATTCTTAAATAGCAGTTTTAATCATTATATTTCATATAAATTGATTTAAATTATAAATTTTGACCTTTTTATAAAATTTTTGTGACTAAATTATTATATTTAATACAATAAATAATTCGCCGCTAGCAAATCGTGCGCAAGCTTCACTTTTTTTTTACTTCATTTACAACTTATAACAAAACATTTGCCACACAGCCTCAAATCTTATCGGGACTTACCAAATAACTTTTACAATACTATTAATATTTTAGTACTTTTAAAACTACTGGTGCAATATTGGTCTCAACTACCAAACTAGCTGAGTTCATTTAAGTATTGATTACGTCATGTTTTTATCTTTGTTTTACGTCAGCGAGGCCATCTGTAAACGCGAAAAACAAATATTTAATATGAATTTATTTAAACACACACACAACACAGTGGAGTTTTTAAATAGTATAAAACTTAAGTACTGAAGTTTACGCGAATAGTAGACCATTAAATAAAACACCTTTAACGGTTTAAAACACGAAGTATCTTAGTAAAAATTAATGGGTTCAGCGATTGAAAAGAACCATATTCAATAATGGTCATAGATTCGATTCCCGCAGGACAAAATAATTGACTATGGTTTTTTGGATTATTTTATCATAAATTAAAGGGAACAAATCACGATTTTTTTTGAGTTTTTTCTTCAATCATCTTTTTTCTACCTGGCAGAAAAATTTTATATTTTCCAGAATTCAATCCCAGGATCTCTCTTGCAATTGACCCAACACGAGGTACATCTACGTAAAATAAGTTATACATTTTGATCTCGATTTTTTTTTACCTTCAATACGTAATCCACTTATTGCTTGACCACTTATAATGGATTTCATTGATGTACAATTTTAAGTAAGTGTAAAAAAAACTACGGTGATAGCCGTCTGTCCTGAAAAAAAATTGGATTTTATTAAATTACAATATTTTAAGATAATATTTTAATCATTAAAAATTTAACGACAGAGTTTTACTATAACAAAATTACATATGAACGAAAATAATTATTTAAACCATAAAAACACCCAAAATACCCAGCTAAGTAAACTGAATATTCACAAAACGCCTATTTTTTTATTGACACCATTTCACAAATGATAGTAAAAAATGGCTGATAGGTATGTGTGGTATAGGTATGATAATATACATTATCATACACACAAATCTACTTATAATGTGCATTATTATAGACAGGATTTCAATATTTTAAGTATAAAGCAAATATTGTAATGCTATCCTAAGAAAACCATAAACACATTACAAACACCATAGTACACAATGAAAGAAGTTCTCAAAAATAATGCGCTTTACATTATATCGGATCGATGTATGTCTAAATAACCTTAATAATATAATGAAATACATATATCCACGTCCTCAATTATGGATATGTTGACAATACAAATACTATCCATAAGATAAGAAAAGAAATCTAGTAAAATACTTACCCGAAACATATTTTCCTTTTTTCTGATGGGTCAGTATTACAGTATTACAAAGAGCAGCCATTTTGTGTTGTAAACGCGTAGTATTCTCGTGTCAATGCCATGCTTAGTAGACGGGCAAAATACATGCTACGGTATTATTGCCATTTCAAAATAATACAATCTTCTAGTATGTTCTCAAGTACTTTTATTATTTTGTACTACACTATAATCCACTACAAAACCTTTGTGACAAAAATGTAAGTAGTTTGAGAAGCCTTGGTAGGTAAAATTAGATAACCCGAAATTAGGATCTTAAAATTTGTTTATATGTAGACTTCTTAGGTTATTTTCTCACCAAAAGACATTATGCTTAATATACATTCTTTATATAAAGGCGTCTATACTTTAATTTATGAGTGTATTTTAACAGACGTTAAGCAGCAATCTTAACAATATGTGTTGCGGGGATGTTATGTTCCTTTATATTTGACATATGACTTGATAGAGGGAATACGCAGCTGTTTCCCAAACAATAGCTGACAAGAGTGCTCTGAACTGTGCGATATTGATATGCTATTGCATCTTGTTGTCGCATGTTACTCATAGGTGGCAGTGTAATAAAAACCTCACAGAAAAAGATTACATTTTTACAATTGAGGCAAAGGGCCAAAGTGTTCGTTTCGCTCCTACATTTTCTTCACGTTGATCGACTGGAAAAAAATAATTTGTTTGACTCAAATCAACAAGCATGCTTGCTGCTTGTAAACATGTAAAAATAACTTAATTTTATTTGGAATGAACGTAATGTTCACAGTTACCTAGAAAAATAAAAAAATAACATTCATAATTAGTCAGGATGGCTGGAAGGGAGTTGCATAGAAAGTAGCAAAAACAATACCGCATTCGAATTGCCAATTGTTTAGAACCCCTGACCTGACGCTTAATTCATTCATGAAACAAAGCTTTCCAGAAATGAAAATAACCTTAGTAACTCACCATTTTAACCTTAATTAAGTACTGTTTGCCGTCGAGGTTGGCGTTGTGATTTTTTTTAATTAGAGCGACAAATAAAGCTTGGGCCGATGATAACTGCGATTAACTTTTGTTTTTAATCTCTCGACTAATATTAGGCATAACAAATTAATACCGTTCGCTTCGTATGGACGAGGTTGAAGCTTCAATCTCACAATGGTTAATAACTAGCTTTTTTCTGTTCCCGTTTTATTACACTTAAATATTAAGATCAGCCGATTCAAACTACGATTACTTATTTAAATTTAGATAAAACACCTTAACGGTTTAAAACGCGATATATTATTTAAACTAAAAGTCTTCCCGAAAGCATTCGAAACGTCGGGCCGAAGAAAATCAATCAAAAAAAAAGTAAGTTTAACTAATATATCGCGGTTTTAAAGCGTTAAAGTGTTTTATTTAAATAAAACTTTGAATTTGGTGCCAAGTACATATTACAGTTTAATATTGTAGAAAGATTACTAAAAAACATTAACATAAAATTTTGCTCATGCAATTCAAATGTTATACCGATTTTTTAGCTTAATGGTTGAACGTGTTGTCTACCATCACGTGAAGCACAAGAGGTCTTAGATTTGAATCGTGGGGAAATAATAAATTAATTTAGTCGAGCAGGGTTACGTTAATCAACTACTTGTTACTGAAATCAGATCACTGAAATCGACACAGAAACGTGTTGGCCCCATACCCCACATACGGTATACGGAAATTCACTTTTACATTTTACTAATCTTTAATTTCTTGATTAATTTTAATAATGACAATTTTGGCCTTTTTTTAACTGATGGCGTGAATGCCTAATGCACGCCTACGTCGGGCAATAGTGATGTGGGGAGTGTGGTAAATCGTATTACAACCACCTCGACGACAATAGCCGACCAGAACCACTAAACACACCACCGGCCCGCTACGGTGCTTTGAAGGAGCCCTGGGATCACGTTTGTAATACCAGTTTTGGCTAGTAAAATAGGCGTGTCTGAGATTCAAACCAACTATACCAAAGTGTAGAGTCACTTGTTCCACAAGCACTGATGTATTTGGCGAAAAGGGGAAGCGTCATATCCATAATATTCTTTCAGTGAAGATTATCTCTGAAATTTCGTGAATTACATTCACAATTTGTACTATTGATAACGTTTTTTGATATAAAAAGGGTAACAGCGAGAGAGCTGTCTCATACAAAAATAAATTTCCCCATTGGGTTATGTCAACTTGTCTTATAGAAAATGCCGTCGCGTGTTTTTTATGTGGTGAGTGTTACTGCTTAAGATCGTAAAAAATATACCATATTTTATAGCAAATCCTTACCATTAAAAAAAATTGTTCGAAGTTTTTAAAAATATGTTGGTAAAAAAAAAGTGCTTTAAAAATAACATGTATAAGTATAGAAGAGTTTTGGTTTACTCGTAATATAATAATTTTAACATTTGTATAATAACCAAATAATTTAGTATGTTAGTCTTAAGTAGATTTACATTATCGACGTACGTTAGTCTAATGGTGGCAATGTGTGACAGGTCGAGGGTTCGATTCATACGGGTATATTACTTCCAGAACTACTAAATTTACAGGTCCTATACATAACAGTTTGTCTCAACTCTTCATCAGCAAGCAACGATGAAGCGAGGGATTTCTTCGAGGAAATGGATAGAATTCCGAATTCTAATAGAGTGATTAATGCTATCCTGGATAGGCTCGAGAGGAACCAACATGTGGCAGCCAGATTCAGGCAACGGCAGGCTGAGGAAGACTGCGATCATTCTTCAGAGGTTTGTTATTTAAAAAGTGATATCGCTAGTTTATGCGTGTAATACACATTTAAATAAAACACTTTAACGGTTCAAAACTCGATATATATAGATAACAGTTAAACTTGTTGAAAAATTATTTTTGCTACGGCCCGACGTTTCGGATGCTTTGCAGAAGCCGTGACCGCGGTAAGGCCACGCGTCGCGTGTTTTAAACCGTTAAAGAGTTTTATTTAAAAGTGAGATCTCGTTTCGCAAGTCTTTGAAATGATCAATTTTTTATCAGCTTTATGTCCGGCCCGACCAACACAACTAAATAAATAAATAGATAAAAAAGCTACTGTTTCCATTCGTTCAACCTGTACTTACCCTCAGTTCTCACAGTTCCCACAGCTGGGACGCCTGAAAATTGTTAAGCTGATATAGATTTGAATGATTCATGAGATATTATACAAATTAAATTTAATACTTTCTTCAGTGTTTTCTTTATTATTAAAATTATTACAGGCTCTTCCAGAATATACAGAAACAATAGAACCGACACGAGAAAGAGAAATGCGCCAGCTGAACGTTAAAGTATGTGTCTTATTATGTATGTAAATGATGCACTAGAAAACAGCTAAATTGATTTTAATGAAATTGAAAAAAATATATTTAAAACTACTTTGACATGAACAATTCTGAACTACATAAATATATAAATATACCGCAAAAAAATGAAGACATATTTTCTACTCGCGTAAACTAGAGAACATTGAATTGTAACATTTTTAACGGTTTTATTCGGGAAATATTTTACTTTAAGTTTATTTATTTTTAACTACGACGCGACAATTCATTTTAAATTTGGAATTGAAAAAATCACTCAAAAACATTTTATGTTTCGTATTTTTAACAAGGTAACGTTAATACTAAAACACGTTTAACGGTTTAAAATGCGAAATATATCAGTTAACTTATTTACAATTTAATTAAACTACTGCCCGACGTTACCGATGCTTTGCAGCAATGGTGGTCACGGGGGGACAATGGATAAACTAATATGAGTACCGATCTACATCGTATGTGTTCTGTCTAGTCTCTGCTAAATACATATATATGTTTCAGAAACATTACCCCATATGTCACTTTGATAGAAAGATACAGAGGCTAAACACTTTGGATTATGAATACCGGCCAGCGTACTACGAAGAAATACAATGTCTTCATTCAGATTTCGAGAATACAAGAGATTCCAATGAGGTATTCTTTTAATTCCTTCTTCCATTCCATTCTTCACAAATTTTAAGCGTTTTACAGCTTTTCATATTATCACGAAGCTTAGACGCTGCTTGAACTGCCAATTCATGATGAAAACCAGAATAGACGACTCATCGTCCTAGTAAAGACACGGGCGTGTAGTGCTTTTAAACTTACCTGGTATTACAAATTCTCCTTGTAAGCTTCAAATATCTCGTGAACTGTGGTCTAGTGTACAGACCGAATATCAAAAGTCAAAATGGGTCTATAGCGTATCTTGCTTAGATGGTATAGGCTGGGGTATATACATACCATCAAGTGGACTCCAGGCCTGTCTGTTCTTCTCTTTTATTAAATAAGACCTTTCGATAGATAAAGCAGTTCTTTTGTGCAAACATATTTCTAGATAATAGTCTTGCAGTTATCACTGCTGCACACCGGGTTTTTGAAAATTGAACTGAGTTGGAGATAAAAGTAGAGTCAAGTTTTTGCAGACGTTATTCCTTGAAGTAACATTTTATTATGGTGGTTAAAAATCTAAGCAAAAAATAGTCGGCCTTAATTCAGACCTTTTACGTGTCCTGTAAATTAACTGGGCATTTCTTTTTATATCCTGAATATAATTTTATAGCAAAGAATCCTTCATTCATTTCGTATTTATTTATTTTATTTCTAGATATGTTCTAGCATCGGCTTTACTTGCGTACAATGGAACAAAACAATACATTTGACAAGGAAACGGTACAACAGGTAAATAACAATATGTCCTTTTGTTTGTCTACTTTTAAACGGACGTTGAGCAATCCGAAACTCGTAAGAAGTCAGTTGAGTCTTATTATGTTTTAGTACTGCGCTATTTTTATAAAGTTTAGCTTTTTTGCATGACTTTATAGACTTGCTTTTTAATAGTAAAACTTAAAATATGTCCATAAGATAGTAAGATTATTGATATAGGTACATATATTATTTTGTCTGATTGATAACAAAAACTAAATTGGGTATGACGTAATAGTTCAAGTGACAAATATAGGCACTAATGACGAACCGTCGGAACCACTCGTGTATACATTTTTTTTTTCAGCCACTGCTGGGAGGCTCTAACAATGGTGATACCAGCTGGCTGTGAATGCATGTGGCCTGCCCATAAACTAGGAGATATAACTCTGCATGCCTAATTACAAATATACCATAAAATAATTCACGAATAGATAGAAATGCTATGTTATTAAATTTTAAAATAAAATACAGTGTTTATTTTATTTTTAAACTAAATTATGACTATATATAAAACAATATTAGATATCACAGTAACATATACATACATCTCTTCATGATAGACAGACTCACACGGGGTTTAATTAAGGGTGAAAACCCCCCAGCAGTTGTATTTGAACAACTTTTTTATTTTGAGGCACTGTCTATTATATTACTCGGATACTATTCACTGTATATTATTCGGAAATCCACAAACTCAGACAGAATTTTGATATTCGATAAACTCCCCCACCTGTCCACTTCATGTGTGCAAACTTTTTTCAGAAAAATTATAAATCTTTTAAATAAAACACTTTAACGGTTTAAAACGCGATATATTAGTTAAACTTATTTAAAAATGATTTTAACTCCGTCTCCCCGTGACCACGGCTGCTGCAAAGCATCCGAAACGACGGGCCGAAGTTAAAAATCATTTTCAAATAAGTTTAACTACTATATCGCGTTTTAAACCGTTAAAGTGTTTTATTTAAATGTGTACTACTCGCGTAAACTAAAGATAGTATAAAATTATAAATCGATTATAATTGTGATGTGTGTAGACCGCATCTGTAGCCAAATGCTTAAACGTATTGCCTAGCATTGCGTTAAGGTCCTGGGTTCGAATCCCAGGAAAACGTAATTTTTTTTCGGTCGATCAAGTAAGTAGTTGATCAGAAGTCTGATCAACTACTTACTTGTCCCTAACGAGAACGGAACAGTGAAACGGACACAGAAATGTGTTCGCTCCATGCCCCACGCGAGGAAAACGGACTTTCACTATAATTGTGTTGAATTTCAAACCCACATTTATAATGAACCTTACATAGCTACTATAAAAACAAAGATCCCGTGGAAATACTTTTTGTATGTTTGTTAAAGTTAATCTCTGAAACTGCTCTAAAACTATGATTTTTTAAGCGTCTATAATGTGAAAATTACTATCGGGTATATTAGAGTATTCGGCGTCCGTAAATACGAAAGAACCACTGCGCGGCACAGCTAGTTGTAATTTTCTGCGCACGAGCGGTCCAAATGGTATAAGGCTTTATTTATGTCTAACACCAAAGCCTCGCCAGTTACACTTTAGACGGCGCGGGAGTGTATCGCTGCGACATCGATTTTTACCATCGAAATATTCCATCAACGAGTACGTATTCATTTTCGATCTATCCACTTCTTGTTTAGGAAACGCGTACTATATTTTTTAAACGAATTAAGATGGCTTTTGCGCATGCAATTTTAATACTTTTTTTTTTAGTTACAGCTACGTAGTTAATGACTATTTTTACTGTAGCTTTCAAAAAAAGCAAACAAACTTCCGAATGTTATACAAAAAACTAATTTAACAATTTTTTTGCGTTAAAATAATTTTTATTTTTTTTTAAATATCACTTTTTTCTATAACTGTCCAATACTACGAAATGAACTTTCAATCTATGCAGAAGTTCACTCCACAGAACTAGTTTTACCAGTCGGGATAATTTATCAACACATTCATAATGTTTATTTGTAATTTATTTTACTGTAATAATCTCAAATATTCTATTATTGTATATTATAAAAAGTGCAAAGATTTTAGAAAAGAAGTTTACTATACTTCTTTTAATTGATAATTTAATCACTAAGTACTTATGAAAATTCAATAAAATTTAATTTAATTTAAATAAAAAATTCGTCTAAGATCCTGTTTATCACTGAACACAATGAATGTAACTGAATATTTAAATTCAAAACTAAGTAGGTACTTTTATTCAATAATTATTAAATAAATAAATAATAAAACAAATGTAAAGCAAGTGTGCGTTTGATATCAGTATATCGCTGCGAAAATTAATATAATGCTACAACGTAGGCGGGACTTGAACCGACATCCACAGCGATCCGTGTGCTGCTCTAACCAATTAAGCTAGCATGTCAATTTAAATTGATTTTCTGAATGCAATAAGGCCATGTGAAAACATGCAAATAATTTAAAAAAGTTCACACATCTTTTCAAAGTTGCCTCACGCTACATAGTATAGATTACAATTTATCTAATGCACTCATATAAAAACATGTTATTACAATTAGTGATAATTACAAAGGAAGTAATAACATATTATATAATGTCGTATAGCACAAAATCAAGACATGATTCAATGTGGAAACTCAACTCGCCACATCAAACAATTCTAACGAACTCTCCGGTTCAATGGCTGTGTACGGATCCACTATGATTACTAAACCAATTGATCATTAATTATTCCAAAACGAGTTTGACTCTGTCAAAAAACTGGAGGCAAGACGTATGCGCTGTCGGCCTATTTCGGTTTTGAATATTCGGATATTATCTTCCATCAGCGAGCCCCAAGTTCCCATCGTCACCAAGTCGAGATGTTGGTTCCATAAAAGATGTCTCAGAAATATTAGTTGTGTTATTATTAAACTCACCTTTTTGTAACTATAATGGTTCAGTTACAACATCGGAACGGACATAGAAATGTCCTAATCCCCAAGTAGAGAAAAATACAGATAACCTATTAACATTGTAAAAAAAAAACAGATATCACATGAATATGGCAATATGTTAATAAAAACCGGAACAATAGTAATTTACATTTTCGACAAAACATGTAGGAGACAGAGACAATAGAATTTTTGTATTGTGTAAATTGACAATATTACTAATATATGATTGGATTGTTAAACTTTAACTGTCAATTAACAAAATATTTTATTCCTCAAATTTAAATAGAACTCTTTTAAAAGTTAAAAAACACTTAATCTAATACCCCTTTTTCCGTTTTGTATGCTTTCCAGCGGTCATAGTCACTCGGAGACAAAGATGACCTTCCCTAATGTCAAATTTATTGCGCTAGCGACATAACTTTCCGTTACAATTCAATTCATTGTAAAGCAAATGACATAAAATTATATCTCAAGCATACAAATCTCTTTAGAAAAAGATAATCTCACAATGTCGGCATGTCTTAACCATTCCATATTGAATTAAAACACTTTTAACGGCTTAATAGGCGAAATTTGTCTATTTGAAAGTTATTATCTCTTGTTTTTATAAATTAAATCCTTTTTAAGCTTTCCTTTTTATTTGTATGTTTATATTATATGCGAAACTAAGCGAGTTGCCTAGCTAGCGATTGTATTATCTTTAAAATAGACATTACAAAAATAACAATATCTAACTTAGCTATGTTACTATGGCGATCAATCAAAATCTGTTCAGTAATTTTTCGTAAAAAACATATTTACGTTCTCACGCAGTAATGTTTTTATGCAACAAAAAGGCGTTAGATAATTGTATGGATTGATAATTCCATAGTTGTAGAGAATTAGTGTGTAGCGTATTGCCTAATACTTTCCATTTAAAGTGTGCGAAAAAACGTTGTCGCCAAATCTAGATAAGGCACGCAGCGGAAGGATAATATTGACACAACTTAGGCAACCATCTTTAAGAAGAAAATTTAGCAAACTATACTATTTTTTTTCAACTGGGACATCCGGGGAATATATTTAGTCACGGTTGTAGTCGATCAGACTTGTTTGTCCAGGTCTACCGAACTATTTATTGCGTTATCCCGGGAATCAAGCCCAACTTATCGGTAATAATTTCGACTTTATTTTATTACCCTAAAAACGGTTCTTGCGAGTTAATCTTAAAAATATAATACATAATATTGTCACAGGGAAAATTTTTTTTAATAGAAATTATATTATTATTTTCACTAACCATTTACGCAGTACATGCAATGGAACTTAAAGGTTAATAATTTTTTCCGTTTTTTCCACATTTCTCACTGTCTTCGCTCCTATTGATGGCAGCGCGTTGTTGTATACCTAAAGCCATTCTCGATAAATGGCCTAACCAACGCAAAAATATTTTTTTCAATTCGATCCAGTAGTTCCCGAGATTAACACGTTTTAACAAACAAACAAACTCTACAGCTTTATAAAATGAAGATGAAAACAAAACTCGGTTGCTCAATTTTCGCTACTCGAGTTATGTTAATTCTAGATCAAACAAAAAGTTACGTATAAAGTTAGGAAAGCTAACCTTTACATTAACTTAAGCATAATGCATTTAAAATGTAATATCAACAATCCTTCACAGATTGTGCTTTGAGGTTATCTAAACAAGATTCGATTTGTCTGTTAACAAATAGCAAGTTGATAACAAATAAAACACTCTTAACGGTTGAAAATGCGAAACATTTTATTTATTTATTGAGTACTATTTACTTTTATAATTTTTGACACATTGATCACACATCCAAGGCAAGGATTCGATACCCGACGTACTTATATATTAAAATACCGTTTACATTTTGGAATAAATTAAATATTGTTTAAGTAGTAATTAAGCAACTATAACTCGCAGACCACCAAAGCTCAGTAATTAAGAAAGATCGGAAGGCGTTTGTAATACGGTTGATGTACATAGTTGGGTGCGAAAAGTTAAACCGAATTTTAAATATTAGAAAAATATTATCGTTTTGTAATTTCTTAATAAAAAATTATCCTTAGATGAACTCCGTGGCTTTTATAAATGCCCGGAAACCGCGTAGCTAAGCTCTTTAATAATGCTGAGAGATCCTGGAAAATAATGTTTTCACTTTGGGTGAAGTTTAATATAATGTACTAGCTGACCTGGCAAACATTCTTCTGCCTGGTAATACTAAGTATGTTGACTAGAAGTTGATTACTATAAAAACGTTCGTTAATCTTAAAGAATATACATATACTGTTAACTTTTTAGATTATTTAAACAATAATAATTCTACCATTGAACCATTTTCGAAGCCCACCCAACGGAAACCTTCACAGATAGATAATTTGCCCGGTTTTAGTCTGACTATGCCCAAATGTCTAAAGTCAAAATGAGACAGCGCGTCTCTTCAGGGGTTATAATCACAACAAACCCCTT